CGACCACAGCTGTCAGCTCAGCCAATCGCGTGTCGGGAAACAGAGCTCGAGGCTCAACAGCTTGTTGTTCGTGTATCGCTTTGCAGCGCGAGCGCAGGGGAAGCAGCAGCCGCCAATGTGAGTACCGATCCACAATCTGCCCCGAACCGAACCGAACCCACCGGGTACAATCCGCGGCGGTCCGGGGGCAGAGAGCCGGGCGGAGGCGGGGGCAGAGGCCGGGAGGGTTGCAGTGGTTGGCCGCTGTACAGGAGGCTGCTTCGGCTTTGAATGGCTGGTTCTGTGTTCGGGAGGAGAACTGTGGAAGAACCTCTTTATACGGGAAGAACCCACTTTATGATCCGCTCAGTGTCACTCATCCTCCGGCTGTTGGGTCCGAACTTCCTCGGAACGGGAGCTAATGCTAATGCTAATGCTAACGTTGTTATCAGACGCTTTAAATCGACACAAACTAGCTAGCTAGTTGATTTAGCCCGTTAGCTAACAGTAGCCCGGCTCCTCCCGCCGTAAACAACCCGGGGTCCGGACTTTACTCCTCCCGGGGCTCCGGTAGGTTTCCCCGGGCGGTCCTCCGGCTGCTGGCCGCGAGCAGGCGGTTGTTTTTTGGAGGAGGGGAGGGGGGGGGGCAGGGAGGTAAAGTTAGCCGAGCTAGCGGAGCTGACATGGCGAGCTGTGATGGCGACAGTGGAGCTGGGAGCGGAGCGGGAAGGAGCTGCTCCCCGGCCGCGCGGCGTCCTCTCCCCGCAGACAGACAGCCGGCGGTCCGCCGAACCTGCTGCCTCCGGCTCCGCTGGAGGAACCGTCGGTAGCGGGTGGGTGAGGGCTGCTTGTGCCACATATTAGATCTGATCCGGGGAGGGGGGGGGGAGGGAGGGAGGGGGGGGCGAGCTAAAGAATGCCTGAGCTAACACAAGTCAGAGGCTAGTTGGTTAGCTTAGCATTGCTGGAGAAGCTCAGGACAGTCTGACTCCCTGTGTCCTCTGTTGATGAGTCCTGTCTGTGTCTTTCAGTGATCCAGGATCTATCGAGCTGGACTCCCTCAAATAACCGGAGAGATGAAGGTGAGTGAAGACCATGATCCAGAGTCTGAGAGACCGGCTCCAAACTGGGCTCTGATGGTCCTGGACTGGTGTGTTTCCAGTCTAAAGACTAATCTGTGTCCAGTTTGTCTGGTGTCTCTTTACACCACGTCTACCACTGCTGCTCTCACGGTTCCCACAACACATTCACTCTTTATAGTCTGACCTTACAGTTTGTTCTACAGTCCACAGCAGAAACACCAGTGGGGTCAACTTATTATGTCCCACAAGGTGTCCCTTATTGGTCCCTTATTGGTCCCTTATTGGTCCCTTATTGGTCCCTTATTGGTCCATTATTGGTCCCTTATTGGTCCCTTATTGGTCCCTTATTGGTCCGTTATTGGTCCCTTATTGGTCCGTTATTGGTCCGTTATTGGTCCATTATTGGTCCCTTATTGGTGCATTATTGGTCCCTTATTGGTCCCTTATTGGTCCCTTATTGGTCCGTTATTGGTCCCTTATTGGTCCGTTATTGGTCCCTTATTGGTCCCTTATTGGTCCCTTATTGGTCCCTTATTGGTCCCTTATTGGTCCATTATTGGTCCCTTATTGGTCCCTTATTGGTCCATTAATTCCTGATAACGACGTTAACCCGCCCAAACTATGATCACTAACTAAAGAAACAAATCATTATTTTATATTTTCATGTGTTTTTTCAATCAAAGTTTTTTACAAGCCATAACTCTGTTTCCATGGTAACGCCTGAGGGTCTGACTAATACCTGGGAGAATCATTCCCATCCCATAATGTTCTACTGAAGTAGACACATTTAGGAGACTCCTGTAAGTGTAATGCAGTGTGATATAAAAATATCTGTAGGTATGTTTCATTAGTGTCTACAGCAGGTTCTCTTCAGTAACAGACAAACACTGGATCAGATACAGACATTGTTCTCTCTGGGCCACCGTAGTTTCACCCACAGGTCACCGCCCGTTGTAGCTGTTTACTGGGAAACTTTGCTGTCAGATGCCACTAAATGAGAACAGGCTGTGAAATGTATAGAAAGTATTCAGATTTTATAGAAAAAAAACATCTAACATTGACGTATAAATCGTTATTATATAGATATATTTATTCCCTCTGTTGAACTGCTGCAAGTCTCCACTTAGGGACCCAAACAAAGATGGCGGCTGCTCATGAAAGCCTGATACTTATCTGGTTGTCATATTAGTTTGTGTCAAGGTTCATTCACAGTCCAGCAGAGGGTTTGACCCTCGACCCCCTTACTGGTGTTTCTGTTGGATCCAGTTATTAGTAGAAAGTCTTCAGAGTAACAGTGATGATCAGATTGAGCTAGAGGTGGGCGATATATATCGTTTGCGATAATATCGTCGTTGTTGTTTTCACGATGTGCAAATTTCCATTATCGAGTATTTAAATTACTGAAACGCCCGTGGAAACTCCTCACATCCATTAATACACGGAGCAGCAGCGCTCTCTACAGCATGGCAGGATTCAGTCACACAACTAGTGGGCCGACGTGATCACATGATGTGATCACGTGACCTCTCGCTAGCATCCTCCTTGCAACAGTTTAGCAGCGCGTTGTGATGGTAGAGAGAAAATGCAAACACCTCCAGTCCCTGAAGCTACCGGTACTTCAGATGATTTAGTGCCGAGACGTGGGTCTACCTCTCTGGCATGGGAATGGTTTAGTTTCAAAAAGACTTTTTTAGCGCTCAGAGCGCTTCAAGTTGAAATCTGTTCAACCTTTGACCCCGCTGGGCGCTCGGAAAATGAGTTTTTGAGCTCTCTGCGCTAAAAGCGCGTTTGGTGGACACAAGCCCGAACGCAGACAATTCCAATCACATTTAAAGATATCGACTGATTATCGTTATCGCCAAAATCCCAAAAAATAACGAGATATTATTTTTTGCCCATATCGCCCACCCCTATATTGAGGTAGAAACTGGAACAGCTAAGAGACAGCGTTCCTACAGGGTTCCTACAGGGTTCAGTGCAGGGTTCCTACAGGGTTCAGTGCAGGGTTCCTACAGGGTTCAGTGCAGGGAGCGTACAGGGTTTAGTGCAGGGTTCCTACAGGGTTCAGTACAGGGTTCCTGCAGGGTTCCTACAGGGTTCAGTGCAGGGAGCGTACAGGGTTCAGTGCAGGGTTCCTACAGGGTTCAGTGCAGGGTTCCTGCAGGGTTCGTGCAGGGTTCCTGCAGGGTTCGTGCAGGGTTCCTGCAGGGTTCAGTGCAGGGTTCCTACAGGGTTCCTAAGGGTTCAGTGCAGGGTTCCTACAGGGTTCAGTGCAGGGTTCCTGCAGGGTTCCTGAGGGTTCCTACAGGGTTCAGTGCAGGGTTCCTGCAGGGTTCGGCAGGGTTCCTGCAGGGTTCGTGGGGTTCCTGCAGGGTTCAGTGCAGGGTTCCTACAGGGTTCCTACAGGGTTCAGTGCAGGGTTCCTACAGGGTTCAGTGCAGGGTTCCTGCAGGGTTCCTGCAGGGTTCCTACAGGGTTCCTACAGGGTTCAGTGCAGGGTTCAGTGCAGGGTTCCTCAGGGTTCAGTGCAGGGTTCAGTGCAGGGTTCAGTGCAGGGTTCCTCGGGTTCCTGCGGGTTCGTGCGGGTTCAGTGCAGGGTTCAGTGCGGGTTCCTACAGGGTTCCTGCAGGGTTCGTACAGGGTTCAGTGCAGGGAGCGTACAGGGTTTAGTGCAGGGTTCCTACAGGGTTCAGTACAGGGTTCCTGCAGGGTTCCTACAGGGTTCAGTGCAGGGAGCGTACAGGGTTCAGTGCAGGGTTCCTACAGGGTTCAGTGCAGGGTTCCTGCAGGGTTCGGCAGGGTTCCTGCAGGGTTTGCAGGGTTCCTGCAGGGTTCAGTGCGGGTTCCTACAGGGTTCCTACAGGGTTCAGTGCAGGGTTCCTACAGGGTTCGTGCGGGTTCCTGAGGGTTCCGGGGTTCCTACAGGGTTCAGTGCAGGGTTCCTGCAGGGTTCGGCAGGGTTCCTGCAGGGTTCGTGCAGGGTTCCTGCAGGGTTCAGTGCAGGGTTCCTACAGGGTTCCTACAGGGTTCAGTGCAGGGTTCCTACAGGGTTCAGTGCAGGGTTCCTGCAGGGTTCCTGCAGGGTTCCTACAGGGTTCCTACAGGGTTCCTACAGGGTTCAGTGCAGGGTTCAGTGCAGGGTTCCTACAGGGTTCAGTGCAGGGTTCAGTGCAGGGTTCAGTGCAGGGTTCCTACAGGGTTCCTGCAGGGTTCAGTGCAGGGTTCAGTGCAGGGTTCAGTGCAGGGTTCCCAGGGTTCTGCAGGGTTCAGTACAGGGTTCAGTGCAGGGTTCCTACAGGGTTCAGTACAGGGTTCAGTGCAGGGTTCCTACAGGGTTCAGTACAGGGTTCAGTGCAGGGTTCAGTGCAGGGTTCAGTGCAGGGTTCAGTCTTCAGAGTTTGGAAAGTGCTTCTGGTTCTTACTGCGACAGTTAATGCACTGAAATACCTTCATATTGTTAATATCTAATAACAGTCATAATGCTCCACTGTGATCAGAATTAAAGTGTTAATCAAACTAGCTACGGGTCAGGGTTACTCTGTGACACTGACATTAACTGAATCAATCTGAAATCACTCAGGTGGAGCTTCTTATCAAACAGGCCAGATGTTTAAATGTGGATTCATTCTTGAGACCCACAGCTCCCCTGCTGTGTGCTGCAGTGCATGCTGGGAGTGACGGTACGTGTGTGTGTGTGTGTGTGTGTGTGTGTGTGTGTGTGTGTGTGTGTGTGTGTGTGTGTGTGTGTGTGTGTTTTTCAGGCAGCGGACGAGCCTGCCTACCTGACAGTGGGGACGGATGTCAGCGCCAAGTACAGAGGAGCCTTCTGCGAGGCCAAGATCAAGACTGTGAAGCGCATGGTGAAGGTCAAGGTAAGACCTGGGGGGACGCGGTTCACCTGCAGACAGGAAGTCCAGGTTCCCTCATAGAGGACAAACCATCAACTCGTTTCTCTGCTGATTAAACGGTTTGTGAAAAGAGCCAGTCCAGGAGTTCAGAAAGACCTGATGTCCACATCTGTCCTCTGTTATCCAAATATTCATCTCAATATGATTCAAAGTCTTCAAATGGCTCTAAAACACGCTGGAAGATCTTAATGTTCACAAACAACCTGTTTATTTTTAGAAACATACAATCAACACAGCGACAACATGTTAGCGATGTCAGCAATTCGGAACAAATACACAAACATTAAGTATATAAAGCTTTCAGTGTCCGATATACAGCTGATCAATAACATCGCTCTGTATGCTTCTGATGATCGGTGGTATTGGCTAACCCTCCCCCAGACTGAACACACTGGTAAAGCTTCAAATAATAATAATCTTGCGGTCCGGATTATATCAGGGTGGAGGGCTGAAAATGCCCCCGAGCCAGCAGTTCGGACCCTGCCCAGATTTACCTTCAGCTTTACCAACATCACGCAGTATTCTGTCCACACAGACAGACGTTGGTCGTAAGTACGAAGAAACAGAATATTACTATTGCTTCAGTCATCTTGGATTTTGCGGCCGGGGTTGGGGAGGTTGCTGGGGACGCTGTGATTGGCTGTCTGACCAATCCGGTGCCAGCAGTCCCAACAGCTGTTTATATGAACGCTGTTTTATTGGTTTGTTTACGACGAGTGGAGGCGGGGCGGTCGCTGCAGCTGCTGTTGTTGATGTTGTTGATTATGTTGTTGTTGTTGTTCCTGTGGTGTTAACGGCAGAGTAGAACACCAGTTCCCAACCTTTTCATTAAGGAACTCTTTTCATTTAATAAACTGACTCAGTGACACATTTAATGGATATTTTATGTTAAATTAAAACCGTCATATATATATATATATATATATATATATATATATATATATATATATTAGACCATCAGCCTGTGATAAACTGAAATATAACCCTGTGCTTGATCTCTGTGTCTCCAGGTCAATCTGAAGGGTGAAAGTACGTCCCAGGTGGTGCAGGACGACCAGGTTAAAGGACCACTGAGGGTAAGATGGTGATGATTCAATTCAATTTTATTTGTATAGCGCCAATTCATAACAGAAGTTATCTCAGGACACTTTTCAAATAGAGCAGGTCTAGACCGAACTCTTTAACATTAATTACAGAGACCCAACAGTACCACCATGAGCAAGACCTTGGAGACAAGGGCAAGGAAAAACTGCCTGTTAAAAGGCAGAAACCTAGGACAGATCCTCCGGCTCTAGGTGGGTGGTCGTCTGTCTCGACCAGTTGGGGTGAGAGAGAGAGAGAGAGAGAGAGAGAGAGAGAGAGAGACAGAGAGGCAGAGAGAGACAGAGAGAGACAGAGAGAGCGAGAGACAGACAGACAGGTGCACAGCAACAACAGTATTGGCAATGACAGTCAAGGAGGACCATGGCAGGAGGCTCCACCAGGATCCATGAGAACCTGCGAGACGAGAAAGCACAAGAACTCCGGGGAAGAAGTGAAGTTAGTAACATGCATTAAAGGGACATGAATGAGTGCAGAAAGAGAGAGGAAGAGAGGAGCTCAGTGCACCATGGGAAATCCCCCGATAGTCTAGGCCTATAGCAGCATAACTAAGGGATGGTTCAGGACTCACCTGATCCAGCCCTAACTATAAGCTTTATCAAAGAGGAATGTCTTAAGCCTACTCTTGAATGTGGTGAGGGTGTCTGCCTCCTGAACCACAACTGGAAGCTGGTTCCACAGGAGAGGAGGAGGAGGAGGAGGATGATGATGATGATGATGATGATGATGATGATGACGACGTATGGAGGTATTGAACTGTCTCTTTCCATCCTCCAGGTGGGCTCCACTGTGGAGGTGAAGACCAACGAGGGTTTATCGAGTGAGGCCGTCATCAGTAAGCTGACAGACGCCAGCCTCTACACTGTGGGTGAGTCTCTTCCTGATTGGCTGATGTCTGTGGGAGCACATTCAGTCCTCAGTGTGTGATTGGCTGTCGGAGGAGTGATGATGCTGAGAAAGGTTTCGCTCAATGAGCTGATGATGTCATGTGATGTCATGTCTTCTCTTGGCTGTCTGACCAATCCGGTGCAAGTTTACCTCCTGCAGGGGACAGGAAGTAGTGACTGCAGGAGCTAGCATGCTAACAGGCTAACAGTGTGCAGTTATAAAGAGTAGAAGTGTTTAAATTAACTGTGTGTGTGTGTGTGTGTGTGTGTGTGTTCCAGTGTTTGATGACGGAGACGAGAAGACTCTTCGTCGTACGTCCCTGTGTCTGAAGGGAGAGAGACACTTTGCTGAGAGTGAGGTGAGACAGGGACTACTTCTCACGCCTGTATCCTTCCACCAGAGTCTCTAGAGTATCTGAAATCAGTATGAAAGCATATAATCGTTAACCCTAACCCCTCTGTCCCCTCAGACGTTGGACCAGCTGCCACTGACCAACCCGGAGCATTTCGGCACTCCGGTCATCGGCAAGAAGTCGAACCGTGGTGGACGGCGTTTGTCCCAGGCTGTGTGAGTGTCCTGTTGTTAACGGGCTGTACAGACCAGAGATAACCACAGTGTGTATAAAATGTGTTTATTAGAAAAGGGGAGATGTCTCAGGATCACAGATCTCATTAACACCGTCTCTGTTAGTGTTTCCAACAATCAGCAACCCAATAATTCACCAATGTAGATTATAAAGACCACAGTTCTGTTCACTCACTGACTGACTGTCTGTCTGTCTGTCTGCCTGTCTCTCTCAGGGCTGACGAGGAGAATGAGTCTTCATCCAGTGAGGATGAGGAGGAGGACAGGAGGAGGCTGAATGATGAGCTGCAGGGGAAAGTGTGCAGCATTGAGAGCGAGGAGGAAGCGATCAGCTGGTACCTGGCTCTGGTAAATGCTCTTTATTAAATGCTCTTTATTAAACGCTCTTTATTAAATGCTCTTTATTAAACGCTCTTTATTAAACGCTCTTTATTAAACGCTCTCTATTAAACACTCATTATTAAACACTCTCTATTAAACACTCATTATTAAACACTCTCTATTAAACACTCTCTATTAAACACTCATTATTAAACACTCTCTATTAAATACTTGTTATTAAACACTCTGTTAAACACTATTAAACACACTCATTATTAAACACTCTCTATTAAACACTCATTATTAAACACTCTCTATTAAACGCTCGTTATTAAACACTCTATTAAATACTCATTATTAAACACTCTCTATTAAACGCTCGTTATTAAACACTCTCTATTAAACACTCATTATTAAACACTCTCTATTAAACGCTCGTTATTAAACACTCTCTATTAAATACTTGTTATTAAACACTCTCTATTAAACGCTCGTTATTAAACACTATTAAACACTCATTATTAAACACTCTCTATTAAACGCTCGTTATTAAACACTCTCTATTAAATACTTGTTATTAAACACTCTCTATTAAACGCTCGTTATTAAACACTATTAAACACTCATTATTAAACACTCTCTATTAAACGCTCGTTATTAAACACTCTCTATTAAATACTTGTTATTAAACACTCTGTTAAACACTATTAAACGCTCTCGTTATTAAACGCTCGTTATTAAACACGCTCGTTATTAAACACACGCTCGTTATTAAACACACTCTCGTTATTAAACACTCTATTAAACACACTCGTTATTAAACACTCTCGTTATTAAACACACTCTCGTTATTAAACACTCTCGTTATCAAACACTCTCGTTATCAAACACTCTCGTTATTAAACACTCTCGTTATCAAACACTCTCGTTATTAAACACTCTCGTTATCAAACACTCTCTCGTTATCAAACACACTCTCGTTATCAAACACTCTCGTTATTAAACACTCTCTCGTTATCAAACACACACTCGTTATCAAACACTCTCGTTATTAAACACTCTATTAAACACACTCGTTATTAAACACACTCGTTATTAAACACTATTAAACACACTCTCGTTATTAAACACACTCTCGTTATTAAACACTCTATCAAACACTCTCGTTATTAAACACTCTCTCGTTATCAAACACTCTCTCGTTATCAAACACACTCTCGTTATCAAACACTCTCGTTATTAAACACTCTATTAAACACACTCGTTATTAAACACTCTATTAAACACTCGTTATTAAACACACTCTCGTTATTAAACACTCTATTAAACACACTCTTGTTATTAAACACTCTAATAAACACACTCTCGTTATTAAACACTCTATTAAACACTCGTTATTAAACACACTCTCGTTATTAAACACTCTATTAAACACACTCTCGTTATTAAACACTCTAATAAACACACTCGTTATTAAACACTCTATTAAACACTCGTTATTAAACACACTCTCGTTATTAAACACTCTATTAAACACACTCTTGTTATTAACACTTAAACTCTGTTATTAACACTCTATTAAACACTGATTAAACCACTTTTAAACACACTCTCTTATTAAACACTCTATTAAACCACCTGTTATTAAACCTCGTTATTAAACACTCTATTAAACACACTCTCGTTATTAAACACTCTAATAAACACACTCTCGTTATTAAACACTCTATTAAACACTCTCTCGTTATTAAACACTCTCTCGTTATTAAACACACTCTCGTTATTAAACACACTCTCGTTATTATATAAAAGTTGACTGCAGGTGCGTGCAATAAAGGTGGAGTCAGTCAGGTTTGTGTCCGTCCTGCAGGTGGTGTCTCCCAGCTGTAACGATGAGCTACTGGTGAAGAAGGATCAGTGTTTGGTTCGAGCCTTCCACGACTCCAAATTGTGAGTTAAGTTTTAGAAATGTCTTCCTTGTTCTTATTGATCTGTGATCAGCTCTGTAATCAGCCCTATCTCATCCTCCTGCTTCCTGTTTCCTGCAGCTACACGGTGGCGAGGAGACACGTCCACCCCGTCAGCTCCATCAACACCCCCAAATCTGAGTTCTCCAACAGGAAAGGTGAGGCACTACAGCTACCACAATGCACCGGGGCGCTGACTCTTTTACAGTGTTATTTTCTTATAACTCTCTCTTCCTCCTCGTCTTCCTCCTGCAGGTTTCGAAGCAGCCCAGGTCTTTCTGAAGAGCAGGGAGGTTCCAGATGTGTGGAAGATGGACATGAGTCAGATCCTGGACTCGTCCTCCAGTGACGATGACGAGGACGATGAAGAGAAGGAGAGCGACGAGGAAGAGGACGAAGACGAGAAGAAAAAGAAGAAACGCATAAAGGAGGAGGTGAGGGTGTGACTGATACTGGGGGGTCAGAGTCTTACCCAGGGGGGTCAGAGTCTTACCTGTGTCTCTGTGTGTCCAGCCGGAGGAGGAGCTGGATCCAGAGGAGAGAGACCACTTCCTGCAGCAGCTCTACAAGTTCATGGAGGACCGAGGTGAGACAGTCCTGGTCTAGCTTGGTACTGCGAACCACTACAGGGTCTCCTGAGGCCCCCGTAGTGGACCGGGGGGAGGGGGGGTCCTGATCCTGTGTACAGATACTGGTTTTGTCTGTAGGGGCCAACAGGGACCCGGCAGGTTAATCCAGTTTGGTTTTGTAGTTTCCAAGCTGTTAATCACACAGGTAACCCCGCCCACTTCCACACCTTTTAATGGTCTCTGGAAAATCTCAATGGCTTCGACAGTGACACATTGGGGAGGGGGGGTTCTGATCGGAGCCTGTAAGGGGGGTCTTTGAAGGTAGGTTGTTCCCAGGCGTCTTGGAAAACCTGGAAATTTGGAAACTAGTTTGCCAGTCATGGAAATTAAAATGACCAAATATCCTGGAAATAATCAGTGTTGTTCTTGATAAGTGTAATTGTAGTTTAGCCGCTCAGTCACTAATGGTTTCTTTAAAGAACCCTCACAGAATAAATAACTTCCAACCTCACTAAAACAAACCCTAGTGGACTGATCGGTGCACACAAACCTCCCCCGTCCTCTGAGCTCCCAGTCTGGACACAGCCAGCTAATAGCACCACTAACTCGCTAATAGCAGCTAGTACAGTTAGCTAAAAGCCCAGAAACACCAAACTGACATTAAAGAAGTAGCGGTCTGGACCTGTTGAAACCTGGTTGTAAACTAACATTACTGATGTCTGTCTGTGTCCATCAGGGACCCCCATCAACAAGCCTCCAGTGTTGGGTTATAAAGACCTTAACCTCTTCAAGCTCTTCAGACTGGTATACCAGCTGGGAGGCTGCCACAAGGTGAGGAGGTCTGTCTGTCTGTCTGTCTGTCTGTCTGTCTCTCTGTCATTGACTACACATCCTGTAAAACTGCACAAGACGGAGGTTGCTGTGGAAGGTGAAGTCCTGTGATGTCACTTCCTGTTACCTGAGTACTGGAGTCTGATCTTCTGTTTGTGTTGTAGATTGAGTCTGGGACTGTGTGGAAGCAGGTCTACATGGATCTGGGGATCCCTGTCCTCAACTCTGCTGCATCCTACAACGTAAAGACGGCCTACAGGAAGTAAGAGACTTCTTCAGCTGGTTTTTAATTTCATTTATTTCTTTAAACGGGCAGATGATGACAGACAGCCACATACAGACCGACTGAAGAAGAACGAGCGCGTTTAAAGCATGTTTAAATACCAGCAGGCACAAAGAGGGCAACCATTTACAGCACAATCAGCTGATAATCAGCCTGATCACTAATCAATACTCCCAACATTAAAGCGTTAATCAACCTGATCAGCCTTCAGCAGTTAGCTAGTGTTTCTGTAGTGGAGACTAAACGTTAACAATGATCCATATCAGCAGTTTGAATCCAACTAAAAGCTCCCTGCACCAAACTCCCTTTAAGAAATATCACATTTTAACAATTCCTAACGTGTTCGTAACAACACGTAACTCTAGAAACACGAGCTAAAGGCCGTCATATGTCCACAGTCTGACTGTCAATACAGGATCAATATCATCCATAAAGATACAGTGTATACTGATCAATATCATCCATAAAGATACAGTGTATACTGATCAATATCATCCATAAAGATACAGTGTATACTGATCAATATCGTCCATACAGATACAGTGAATACTGATCAATATCGTCCATAAAGATACAGTGTATACTGATCAATAATCAATAAAGATATAGTGTATACTGATCAATATCATCCATAAAGATAGTGTATACTGATCAATATCATCCATAAAGATACAGTGTATTCTGATCAATATCATCCATACAGATACAGTGTATACTGATCAATAATCAATAAAGATGCAGTGTATACTGATCAATAATCAATAAAGATGGTGTATTCTGATCTCTCTGCTTCCTGTTTCTTGTGGGCTTCTGACTGCATCCATTTCCCATCAGCCAACTGGTTTATTGTCAGCGGTCTTTGTGTCCTCAGGTACCTGTACGGTTTTGAGGAGTACTGCCGCTCCGCCTGCATCACCTTCAGGACCATCCATCACAACAACCCCCGCCCACCCACCGCTCCGGCCAATCAGAAGCAGCCGGGGGTGGAGCCTAAAGAGTCCACCGCGTCACCGGTGAAGGCGGAGCCTGACAATAACAAGATGAAGGAGGTGGAGTCTGAGAGCGAGAGCGAGAAGGAGGAGGTGAAGGAGAGACAGTCGTCCCCGAGGGTGAGTCGAACTTCAGAACAGTCTGACTCTGGGTCCCTGACTCCCTGACTCCCTGACTCTGGGTCCCTGACTCCCTGACTCTGGGTCCCTGACTCCCTGACTCCCTGGGTCCCTGACTCTGGGTCCCTGACTCCCTGACTCTGACTCCCTGACTCTGACTCCCTGACTCTGACTCCCTGACTCCCTGACTCTGACTCCCTGACTCTGACTCCCTGACTCCCTGACTCTGGGTCCCTGACTCCCTGACTCTGGGTCCCTGACTCCCTGACTCTGGGTCCCTGACTCCCTGGGTCTCTGACTCCCTGACTCCCTGACTCTGGGTCCCTGACTCCCTGACTCCCTGGGTCCCTGGGTCCCTGACTCCCTGACTCCCTGGGTCCCTGACTCCCTGGGTCCCTGACTCCCTGGGTCCCTGACTCCCTGGGTCCCTGACTCTGGGTCCCTGACTCCCTGACTCTGGGTCCCTGACTCTGGGTCTCTGACTCCCTGACTCTGGGTCCCTGACTCTTGGTCTCTGACTCCCTGACTCTGACTCCCTGACTCCCTGACTCTGACTCCCTGACTCCCTGACTCTGACTCCCTGACTCCCTGACTCTGGGTCCCTGACTCCCTGACTCTGGGTCCCTGACTCCCTGACTCTGGGTCCCTGACTCTGGGTCTCTGACTCCCTGACTCCCTGACTCTGGGTCCCTGACTCCCTGACTCCCTGGGTCCCTGACTCTGGGTCCCTGACTCTGGGTCCCTGACTCCCTGGGTCCCTGACTCCCTGACTCCCTGACTCTGGGTCCCTGACTCCCTGACTCTGGGTCCCTGACTCTGGGTCTCTGACTCCCTGACTCTGGGTCCCTGACTCTTGGTCTCTGACTCCCTGACTCTGGGTCCCTGACTCCCTGACTCCCTGACTCCCTGACTCTGGGTCCCTGACTCCCTGACTCCCTGACTCCCTGACTCTGGGTCCCTGACTCCCCTGACTCCCTGACTCCCTGACTCTGGGTCCCTGACTCCCTGACTCCCTGACTCCCTGACTCTGGGTCCCTGACTCCCTGACTCTGGGTCCCTGACTCCCTGACTCTGACTCCCTGACTCCCTGACTCCCTGACTCCCTGACTCCCTGACTCCCTGACTCTGGGTCCCTGACTCCCTGACTCTGACTCCCTGACTCTGGGTCATTAAATTTGGTTTTATTCACAGAATGATCACAGTGCTGCGATATCGGCCGTCTGTGTATATTGTTAAAAGTTTCTTTAAGTGTTCGACACCAGGTGAGACAGCTGTGATAACCTGTCTGTCTGTCTGTCTGTCTGTCTGTGTCTCAGGGGAGGAGGAGGTGTGTGGGGGGGCTGAAGGCAGAGAGAGAGTCTCCCCCCGGACCAGAGAAGAGAGGAGGAGGAGGGGGAGATAACCTGGAGGAGCAGAGGGAGATGAGGAGACGCAGCAACAGAAGAATGGACGACTCTGAGAAAGGCTCTGAGGAAGAGGAGGACGACGATGAAGATGATGATGAGGAGGAGGAGGAGGAGGGGGAGGAGATGGAGGTGGAGAGGAGTAGAGAAGACAGGTGAGACGGAAACAAACAGCAGACGTAAAACTGTCAATATAAACCATCAGTGGGGGAAGTACACAGGCTACTACAGCTAGCCTTAAGGCTCTTACATAATCGCAGCTTGTGAGCTGTCGCACGACAGCATGACGTCGCAATGACGCGACAGCGTGACGTCGCAATGACGCGACAGCGTGACGTCGCAATGACGTCGCAATGACGTCGGTCTCGCTGGCGGGCAGCAAACCGGAAACAGGAAGATGGACGATCTGTATGATCCTTCAATGAAGGAACACAGAGCCAGGATTCCACGACCAATTGTAAAAAAACAAAAATTAAATTAAATTTTTAAAAAATGTTTTCTTCTTCTTCTAGTGCGTAGAAATAGCAAAGTCAGTAGCCTTTCCTCAGTAGCGACACCTCTGTTCAGGAGAAGACTGCAGCTAGTGCCGCGACCACCACGCACAAGTATATATAGTCACGGCGCTCCTGTGACAGAAGAAGTCCTAAAGCGCGAGGATACTGGGGCCTTTACGCTACGAGCTAAAGAGCTAACGTTAGGCTACGAGCTAAAGAGCTAACGTTAGGCTATGAGCTAAAGAGCTAACGTTAGGCTACGGGCTAAAGAGCTAACATTAGGCTACGAGCTAAAGAGCTAGCGTTAGGCTACGAGCTAAAGAGCTAACGTTAGGCTACGGGCTAAAGAGCTAATGTTAGGCTACGAGCTAAAGAGCTAACGTTAGGCTACGAGCTAAAGAGCTAACGTTAGGCTACGGGCTAAAGAGCTAACGTTAGGCTACGGGCTAAAGAGCTAACGTTAGGCTACGGGCTAAAGAGCTAACGTTAGGCTACGGGCTAAAGAGCTAACGTTAGGCTACGGGCTAAAGAGCTAACGTTATGTGTGTGGTTGTGGTTCAGGAGCGAGGATGAGGAGGACGAGGACTCTCTGACGGGGACGAAGGTCAGGGTGAAGTACGGCAGAGGAAAGACTCAGAAGATCTACGAGGCTCACATCAAGAAGACAGACGTGGACAACGGAGAGCAGTTCTACCTGGTCCACTACTACGGCTGGAACGTCAGGTGAACGTCTCGACGCGTTGTAGAGTTCAGGTGGTGTTGGAGGCGGAGCTTCTTCTGACCCAGGTGTGTCTGATCCACAGGTACGATGAGTGGGTGAAGGCGGACCGCATCATCTGGCCCGTGGAGAAAGGGACGAAGAAGAGACAGAGGAAGAAGGTGAAGGTGAGCTCACTGTGGGGCCTGTGATGTCTGAACTTCTGAATACTTTCTTAATCAATAATTACATAGGAAGTAATCAATTATTACATTAGAGGTCATCAACAACAACAACAATGCATGGCGCAGAGGCAGAGCAGGTCGTCCACTAATCGGAAAGTTGTGGGTTCGATTCCCAGCTCCTGGTGCCACATGTCAAAGTATCCTTGAGCAAGATACTGAACCCCAAATTGCTCCTGATGCCGTGCATCATCATCATCATCATCATCGTCATTGTCGTCGTTGTCATAAGGAGTTTGGTCTAGACCTGCTCTATTTGAAAAGTGTCCTGAGATAACTTCTGTTATGAATTGGCGCTATACAAATAAAATTGAACTGAATTGTATCCGTGAGTGAATGTGTGTGTAGTGTAAAAGCGCTTTGAGTGGTCGGAAGACTAGAAAGGAAACTATACAAGTACAGCTCCATTTACCATTTACCATTTACCAACATGGTGGCGTTGTTGTTACTGTTGTTGTTGTTGTTACTGTTGTTGTTGTTGCTGTTACTGTTGTTGTAACTGTTGTTGTTACTGTTGTTGTTACTGTAGTAGTTGTAGCAGTAGTTGTTGTTGTAGTTGTTGCTGTTGTTGTTACTGTAGTAGTTGTAGTTGTTGCTGTTGTTACTGTTGTTGTTGTTGTTACTGTTGTTGTTGTTACTGTTGTTGTTGTTGTTGTTACTGTTGTTGTTACTGTAGTAGTTGTAGTTGTTGTAGTTGTAGCAGTAGTTGTTGTAGTTGTTGTTGCTGTTGTAGTTGTTGTAGTTGTTGCTGTTGTAGTAGTAGTTGTTGCTGTTGTTGTAGTAGTAGTTGCTGTTGTTGTAGTAGTTGTTGCTGTTGTTGTAGTAGTTGTAGTAGTAGTAGTTGTAGTTGTTATTGTTGTAGTTGTTGTAGTAGTAGTAGTTGTTGTTGTAGTAGTAGTAGTTGTTGTTGCTGTAGTAGTTGTTGTAGTAGTAGTTGTAGTTGTTGCTGTTGTTGTAGTAGTAGTCGTTGTTGCTGTTGTTGTATTAGTTGTAGTAGTAGTTGTTGTTTGTAGTAGTAGTAGTAGTAGTTGTTGTAGTAGTAGTAGTTGTTGTTGTTGTAGTTGTTGTTGTTGTAGTTGTTGCTGTTGTTGTTGTTGCTGTTGTAGTTGTTGTAGTAGTTGTTGCTGTTGTAGTTGTAGTTGTTGTAGTTGTTATTGTTGTAGTTGTTGTAGTAGTAGTTGTTGTTGTTGTAGTAGTAGTAGTAGTAGTAGTAGTAGTAGTAGTTGTTGCTGTTGTAGTAGTAGTTGCTGTAGTAGTTGTAGTTGTTGCTGTTGTAGTTGTTGTAGTAGTAGTAGTAGTAGTTGTTGCTGTTGTTGTAGTAGTTGTTGCTGTTGTTGTAGTAGTAGTAGTTGTAGTAGTTGTAGTTGTTATTGTTGTTGTTGTTGTAGTAGTTGTTGCTGTTGTTGTTGTAGTAGTTGTAGTTGTTGTTGTTGTAGTAGTAGTAGTTGTTGTTGTTGCTGTTGTAGTTGTTGTAGTAGTAGTAGTAGTTGCTGTTGTTGTAGTAGTTGTTGCTGTTGTTGTAGTAGTAGTAGTAGTTGTAGTAGTTGTAGTTGTTGTTGTTGTTGTTGTTGTTGTAGTAGTAGTAGTAGTTGTTGTTGTAGTAGTAGTAGTTGTTGTTGCTGTTGTAGTTGTTGTAGTAGTAGTAGTTGTTGCTGTTGTTGTAGTAGTTGTAGTAGTAGTTGTAGTTGTTGCTGTTGTAGTAGTAGTAGTTGTAGTTGTTGTTGTAGTAGTAGTAGTTGTAGTTGTTGCTGTTGTAGTTGTAGTAGTAGTAGTAGTTGTTGTAGTAGTAGTTGTTGCTGTTGTAGTTGTTGTAGTAGTAGTAGTAGTAGTTGTTGCTGTTGTTGTAGTAGTTGTAGTAGTTGTTGCTGTTGTAGTTGTTGTAGTAGTTGTAGTTGTAGTAGTTGTAGTAGTAGTTGTAGTAGTAGTTGTTGTAGTTGTTGCTGTAGTAGTAGTTGTTGTAGTAGTTGTTGCTGTTGTAGTAGTAGTAGTTGTTGCTGTTGTTGTTGTAGTAGTAGTAGTTGTAGTAGTAGTAGTAGTTGTTGCTGTTGTTGTTGTAGTAGTAGTAGTTGTTGCTGTTGTAGTAGTAGTAGTAGTTGTTGTTGTTGTAGTAGTAGTAGTTGTTGTTGTAGTAGTAGTAGTAGTTGTTGCTGTTGTAGTAGTAGTAGTTGTTGCTGTTGTAGTAGTAGTAGTTGTTGCTGTTGTAGTAGTAGTAGTTGTTGTAGTAGTAGTAGTTGTTGTAGTAGTAGTAGTTGTTGCTGTTGTTGTTGTTGCTGTTGTAGTTGTTGCTGTTGTTGTTGTTACTGTTGTTGTTGTCGTTACTGTTGTTGTTACTGTTGTTGTTACTGTTGTTACTGTTGTTGCTGTAGTAGTTGTAGTTGTTGTAGTTGTAGCAGTAGTTGTTGTTGTAGTTGTAGCAGTAGTTGTTGTTGTAGTTGTTGCTGTTGTAGTAGTAGTAGTTGTTGCTGTTGTTGTAGTAGTAGTTGTTGTTGTAGTAGTTGTTGTTGTTGTATTAGTAGTTGTTGCTGTTGTAGTAGTTGTAGTAGTAGTAGTAGTTGCTGCTGTTGTTGCTGTTGTAGTTGTTGTTGTTGTAGTAGTAGTAGTAGTAGTTGTTGCTGTTGTAGTTGTTGCTGTTGTAGTTGTTGCTGTTGTTGTTGTAGTAGTTGTTGTTGTTGTAGTAGTAGTAGAAGTAGTAGTAGTAGTTGTTGCTGTTGTAGTTGTAGTAGTAGTAGTAGTAGTTGTTGTTGTTGTTGTTGTTGCTGTTGTTGTAGTAGTTGTTATTGATGATATGGTAGTAGTAGTTGTTGCTGTTGTTGTGTAGTTGTTGCTGTTGTTGTTGTTGTAGTAGTTGTTGTAGTAGTAGTTGTTGCTGTTGTTGTAGTTGTTGTAGTAGTTGTTGCTGTTGTAGTTTTAGTAGTTGTTGTTGCAGTTGTAGTTGTTGTAGTAGCTGTAGTAGTAGTAGTTGTTGCTGTTGTTGTAGTAGTTGTTGTTGATGATATGGTAGTAGTAGTTGTAGTTGTTGTAGTAGTTGTTGCTGTTGTAGTTGTTGCTGTTGTTTTAGTAGTTGTTATTGATGATATGGTAGTAGTAGTTGTTGCTGTTGTAGTTGTTGCTGTTGTTGTTGTAGTAGTAGTTGTAGTAGTTGTTCCTGTTGTAGTTGTTGCTGTTGTAGTTGTTGCTGTTGTTGTTGTAGTAGTTGTTGTTGTTGTAGTAGTAGTAGAAGTATTAGTAGTAGTTGTTGCTGTTGTAGTTGTTGCTGTTGTAGTTGTAGTAGTAGTTGTAGTAGTAGTTGTTGTTGTTGCTGTTGTTGTAGTAGTTGTTATTGATGATATGGTAGTAGTAGTAGTAGTTGTTGCTGTTGTAGTTGTTGCTGTTGTTGTTGTTGTAGTAGTTGTTGTTGTAGTAGTAGTTGTTGCTGTTGTTGTAGTAGTTGTAGTAGTTGTTGCTGTTGTAGTTTTAGTAGTTGTTGTTGCAGTTGTAGTTGTTGTAGTAGCTGTAGTAGTAGTAGTTGTTGCTGTTGTTGTAGTAGTTGTTGTTGATGATATGGTGTGTAGTGTAGTTGTTGTTAGTTGTTGCTGTTGTAGTTGTTGCTGTTGTTTTAGTAGTTGTTATTGATGATATGGTAGTAGTAGTTGTTGCTGTTGTAGTTGTTGCTGTTGTTGTTGTAGTAGTAGTTGTAGTAGTTGTTGCTGTTGTAGTTTTAGTAGTTGTAGTTGTTGCAGTTGTAGTTGTTGTAGTAGCTGTAGTAGTAGTAGTTGTTGCTGTTGTTGTTGCTGTAGTTGTTGTTGATGATATGGTAGTAGTTGTAGTAGTAGTAGTAGTAGTAGTAGTAGTTGTTGTTGCTGCTGTTGCTGTTGTTCTAGTAGTTGTTATTGATGATATGGTGGTGGTAGTAGTAGTAGTAGTAGTAGTTGTTGTTGTAGTAGTTGTTGCTGTTGTTGTAGTAGTTGTAGTAGTCGTTGTAGTAGTAGTTGTAGTAGTAGTTGTTGCTGTTGTTGTAGTAGTTGTAGTAGTTGTTGCTGTTGTAGTTTTAGTAGTTGTAGTTGTTGTAGTTGTTGTAGTAGCTGTAGTAGTAGTAGTTGTTGCTGTTGCTGTTGTAGTTGTTGCTGTTGTTGTAGTAGTTGTTATTGATGATATGGTAGTAGTTGTTGTAGTTGTTGTAGTAGTTGTAGTAGTAGTAGTTGTTGCTGTTGTTGTTGTTGTTGCTGTTGCTGTTGTTGTTGTTGTGGTTGTTGTTGTTCTGGTTGTTGTTGTTGATGATATGGTAGTAGTTGTTGTAGTAGTAGTTGTTGCTGTTGTAGTTGTTGCTGTTGTTGTTGTTGCTGTTGTTGTTGTTGTAGTAGTTGTTGTTGTTCTGGTTGTTGTTGTTGATGATATGGTAGTAGTAGTTGTAAACTGTCGCTGTCTACTCAACAGAACAAAGACGAGTCGGAGAAAGAGAGGGACAAAGACGAAGAGAAGACGCCATCGATGGCAGGGAAGCCCACAGGAGCGAAGCGTGGTCGTCCTCAGATCAGGACCACGCCCACCGGCCCGGTAGGACGCAGTGTCTCTAAGACGCCGAGCAGCGAGGGGCGGAGCAACGGCAAGAGGACGGAGACGGCGTCCAACATGGCCAACGGAGACGGTAAGAGACACTGAGCATGCTCCGTCTGCTGAGGTTGTTTTAATATGTGCGTTTGTAACGGGCGCTCCTCTCCGCAGACACTCCTCGCCGCAGGACCCGGAGAACGTCGGGCATGTACGACTCTGACAGAGCGTCCAACGGTGAGTCTACTTCCTGTTTCCTGTTTCCTGTCATCAGTTCAGACTAACTAACCAATCCACTGCTTCCCCTGCAGAGGAGTCTGGGAACTCATCTGACGACAGCGAATCAGAAGACCCGCCTGACAAAAAGCCGTCGCCATGGCGAGGAAGGAGTGAAGCCCCGCCCTGCCAGCAGGAGGAGGAGGAGGAGGAGGAGGAGGAGGAGGTGACGGAGATGGCGACTAGTGAGGTCACTGATCTCAAAGTGACCACTAACAATGACACTGTTGCCACGACAACAGCAGGTCAGCTGCCAGCTGCCACTGCGCCGCCATGTCCCAGCATGCCTCAGGAGAAGGCTGACAAACTCCTGAGCCAATCAGAGAAGAAGGAGGCGGAGCAGGGGGAGGAGCCTGCAGTGGAAGCCTCGCTGCCCGTTCACCAGGAGGCGTCTCCTGGACAGGAAGTGCTCACCAAGGCGTCCCCCAGCAGGACGGAGGTGTCCTCCCCTCAGCCCCCCCCTGCAGAGGAGGAGGACAGCAGGTCCACTCCTCTGTCCTCCCCCAGGGTCAGAGGTCGCAGGGCCATCCAGCCTGAAACTCCTCCCAGAATCCCCCCCTGCACTCCCAGCCCCGCCCCTGCAGTTAGCCCCTCCCACATGGGGGCGCTGTCGTCTCCTCCTCGCAGCGTCCTGAAGAGACAGGAGGAGCCCATGGTGCTCCTCCCCCGCTGCCAGCCCACCCAGCGTCTCCCCCCTGAGCCTCTCACCGCCGACTCCGACACGGACTCGGCCACGGAGGAGGAGGGGGAGGAGGAGGAGAGGAGGAGGAGCTCGCCACTGAAGCGTAAGGCAGCAGAGCAGCGAGCTGCCGACAAGAAGCTCCGCCCCGACCGGAGGCAGGAGGAGGCGGCCTCCCCCAAAACCCCGCCTGCCCCGCCCAAGATGGCCGCTGGAGCTTCACCCAGAACCCTCCCCTCACCCGTCCGCAGGGGGGAGTCAGAGAGGAGGAGCGATGGAGTGATCAAGGTGGAGGAGTGGCCCCACCCGGTGGAGGAGTGGCCCCACCCAGCGGAGGAGCCGCCGAGGGAGGAGTCAGAGGAGCCTCTGACGGGCGCAGCAGCAGCAAAGGAGCCAGAGGTGCATACTGGGACTCCTCCGCCCCCCCCGAGGAGCTGGACCCCGCCCCCCCCGAGGAGCTGGAGCCGCAGATCGGCCCCGAGGCGCTCGTCTGCCACGAGGTGGACCTGGACGACCCGGATGAGAAGGAGAAGCCCTCCCCAGAGCACCTCCTCCTGATGATGAGGGAGCCGCAACCGCCCCGCCCCCGCCCCGCTGCCCAACCTCCACCATGCCTTCCTCCCCTCCTCCCACCTCCCCCAGACTCAGGTCAGGCCTTTCCCGCCGGCCTCCACACCGAGCCCCGCCCCTTGCCCCGAGGAGCTCCACCCATCCAGGAGCACTGCCGAGGAGGAGAGAGGAGCGGCGAGTGGGGAGCAGGAGGGAGACTCCAGCCCCGGGTTTGATGGCAGCGCCTCCTCCTCCACCTCCCTGCTGTCACTGCAGGAGAACAAAGAGAGAGGTGAGACACCAGAATATAATGTTAATGTAAACACACTGACTCACCTGGTGACCTCCGATCGGTGACCTCTGATCGGTGTACTGATCGGTGACCCGTGATAGTCCTGATCGGTGACCTTGACTCCTGGTGACTCCTCCGATCGGTGACCTCTGATCGGTGACCTCCGATCGGTGACCTCCGATCGGTGACCTCCGACCCGTGACCTCCGATCGGTGACCTCCGATCGGTGACCTCCATTTCGGTGACCTCCGATCGGTGACCTCCGATCGGTGACCTCCGATCGGTGACCTCCGATCGGTGACCTCCGATCGGTGACCTCCGATCGGTGACCTCACACAGCACTTGCCTGTGACAAATGGCCGTCGGTGATGACGTTAGCCGTTGTTATGGATGTCTGTGGTTGTATGAGTAACCTGTGTGACCTTTGACCCCCCAGGTCAGAAGAGGGTGATGGACTGCAGCTCGAGTCCGACGGCCAAGAAGCAGAAACGCAACCAGAAGCGAGCGAACACACCTGGGAAGAACGGGACAGGTGAGCTGATGATGTCACTGCTGACAGAGGGTGGAGCTTCCTACCAACATGGTCATCCTCACTCTCTCTCTCCCCCCCCCCTCCCTGTCTCCCCCCCCAGGTAACAGCAGTGACAGTGAGGACCAGAAGTCTCTCCCCCCCCCCCTCAGTAAACACAAACACAGTTTCTCTCCTCAAAGGAGCAAATGGACGTTTCAGCTGGGTGAGAATCTGCAGAGAGAGACATTATTATACTGTACCTCCTCCTCTACCTCCTCTAACTCCTTCTCTTCCTCTAACTCCTCCTCTAACTCCTTCTCTTCCTCTAACTCCTCCTCTAACTCCTTCTCTTCCTCTAACTCCTCCTCCTCCTCCACTACCTCCTCCTCGAACTCCTCCTCCTCCTCCACTACCTCCTCCTCTAACTCCTCCTCCACTACCTCCTCTAACTCCTCCTCTAACAACTCCTCCTCCTCCTCTTCCTCTAACTCCTCCTCCTCCACTACCTCCTCCTCCTCCTCCACTACCTCCTCCTCTAACTCCTCCTCCACTACCTCCTCCTCCTCCACTACCTCCACCTCTAACTCCTCCTCCTCCTCTAACTCCTCCTCTAACAACTCCTCCTCCTCCTCTTCCTCTAACTCCTCCTCCTCCACTACCTCCTCCTCCTCCTCCACTACCTCCTCCTCCACTACCTCCACCTCTAACTCCTCCTCCTTCTCCTCCTCTTCCTCTAACTCCTCCTCCTCTAACTCCTCCTCCTCCTCTAACTCCTCCTCCTCCTCCTCAGATGAGTTGGACAGCATGTCGAGCACCGAGAGGATCTCCTTCCTGCAGGAGAAGCTGCAGGAGATCAGGAAGTACTATATGACCCTGAAGTCGGAGGTGGCGTCCATCGACCGCCGCAGGAAGCGACTAAAGAAGAAGGAGAGAGAAGGTGGGAGGCGCAGTGCATGCTGGGTATTGTTATTGATTAATCCAGAGCCCGTGTACCGAGAGCCTGGCCGCTCCCCATAAGGTCCCATTGTACCGAACACTGGTTGCAGTAGCCTGGCCGCTCCCCATAAGGTCCCATTGTACCAAACACTGGTTGCAGTAGCCTGGCCGCTCCCCATAAGGTCCCATTGTACCGAACGCTGGTTGCAGTAGCCTGGCCGCTCCCCATAAGGTCCCATTGTACCGAACGCTGGTTGCAGTAGCCTGGCCGCTCCCCATAAGGTCCCATTGTACCGAACACTGGTTGCAGTAGCCTGGCCGCTCCCCATAAGGTCCCATTGTACCGAACGCTGGTTGCAGTAGCCTGGCCGCTCCCCATAAGGTCCCATTGTACCGAACACTGGTTGCAGTTCCAGCAGAGGTCCACTGGGGGCGCTCTCCCATCAGTGCAGAATGAATGGGAGCAGATGGAGCTGATTGTGGTTGAGAGATCTCAGATGTGATTGTAGTTTTTAAAGTTCAACATGGGTTATAGGTCGAAAGCTGAATGAACGAGTTCTGATGTCCTTTAGATTTCTTACAGGACGAGTTGTTGTTGCCCATAACGCGCTAGCATTCTGCTAATGAACGCTGATTGGTCAGTGAAGGACTGATTACGACCAGAGATCCCGCTCGATGGCATCGTGGCATCCGAAGCCCGACCACAATGTTAAGGCCGATTTTTTTGCCCAAGTTCTTTTTTTGAACACAGAAACTTTTTTGTGTTGCTGGTACTTTTATCTGCCGATCGTTACGTCTGTGTCGTCGAAGCACAAAGAGACTCGAGGCTCGCCGTAAAGCGGTATCTCTGGCCGTACGATGTGTGTGACGTCACTGACATTTTAAAGACTTTTTAAAGAAAATAAGTGACTCTAAAGAATCTAACACCCAGCAATGTGTCATTACTCGACAAACACTGATCTCCTGAGAGAAGAGGATTGTGAGGGTATAGCTCCATAGAGCTCCATTCATTCTGCTCTCATCCTGTGAGCGCCCTCATGTGGAGCCAGAGGGGAACTGCAACAGTTCAGAACCCGGAGGTTTACTGAGAGTGGAAGTTCTCATTATTAGACGTTCTCTGTTAATAGTCATATTATTGATCACATTGATTATTATTTGTTCTTCAGTGTCGAACACGACGGCGTCCACCTCCTCGGGCTCCTCGGACACAGGTATGAGTCCGTCCTCGGCCTCGCCCGCTCAGAACACCGTCGCCGTGGAGTGCAGGTGATGACACGCCCACCAGGCCACGCCCACTCCCACATCATCGCCTCCCCCTTCTGCTAAGCCCCGCCCCTTCCAACCACAGACTCTGCCTACTCAGTCAGCTCTGAGGCCCCCCCCCCCCAGAGTCTGAGCTCCAACTGCAGTGGCTGATGGGAGGGGAAACTACCACCTGACCTTAGCCCCACCCCCTCACCTATGGACTTCCTGTTTGAGGAGAATAATCCGCCGCCTGTTCAGCCGCCACAGAGCTTCCTTATTTCCTTCCTTCCTAATTTCAGAATAATGTGAGCTTATGTTTGGGGGTTCGGGGGTCAGAGGTCACTGAAGCTCGTTATGCAAATTATTTCTTTCTTTTTCGTTAACTCGCTTTTTTTTTTTTTAAGAAAACAACAAAGATAAAGTTTCCAGACTTCCTGCTGTGAACGTTTCTGGCCTTTTTATATGAATCAGAGCTTTTATTTTGGTAAAAACAAACAAAAACAAAACTTCCCAAAAACTTTGATGTCACAGCGGGAGAGAAAATTAAATATTTGTAGAAATGAACTTTTTTGTTTTTGTGTAAAATAATTAAAATGAAGCTTATTTATTCAGTTAGTGAACACAGAGTGTGTGTGTGCGTGTGTGTGTGTGTGTGTGCGCGTGTGTGTGTGTGTGTGCGCGCGCGCGCGTGTGTGTGTGTGCGCGCCTGTGTGTGTGTGCGTGCGCGTGCGGGAGATCATTACCGCCAGGAGGAAAAAGAAATGACGGTTGATGAAAAGTAAAAATTAAAGGCGGGTCCATTTTATGAGACACTTTGGTTTGAATTATATTTTAGATCTTTGAAACATTTTAATTTTGACTCAGTAAATATTTTCCTTTTTTAAAAGTTGTTAATCAGAAATATCTCAGTTTCATAACTGAGGCCATACTCAGTAAATCATTTTGACTCACTGCGTCATTGTTATTTTATGTCATAATTAAAGAATTATAAAACTTTGTATCATAATTGCGACTAAAAGTGAATTTAAGTTTCATTGTTTCATATTTCAGTTCTGACTGAAGAGATTTTAGTTTTCATATTTGGACTCATTGTGAGTTTATTTTCTTCTCTGGCTGCTTTGATCTTCCGTACGTCTGGAGGATCTCTGCTGCACTACTTCCTGTTCCTCCCTGACTCTTCTTCTGTGGTTTGCTCTCAGTGTGCGGCTGCGGCGGACGGCTCCTTTCCACATTTCTTTGTTTTGTACATAAAAGTTCTGAGTAAAGAAAAGAATAAAACACACCATGTATTTGAGACATTTTACATCCTGTAAAGAATGATTTATAATATTTTTTAAGAGCAGACTGTTTGTACTGTTGTATTATGATGAACTCCTCCGTTGGTTGTTTTCTATCTGGTTGTTTTTCTAGCGACGGTTTGAGAGCGACGACTGTAAATACAGAAACACTTCCTCCTGACAGCAGCGACATGTTGGAACTGTGAGCTCTCTGTTTCTAATAAAGTTTTTAAATACGTCTCCACGAGTCCTGGTCCTGGTCCTGACCCTGGTCCTGACCCTGGTCCTGACCACCGTAGTGTCTCGTCCACAGTCAGTGTTTAGTTTGTCTGTTACCGTAGAAACATGGCGGACTCCCTCTGTGTGTTATTGTACGGAAGCTTAATGATTCTTATTTTCAGCTGATTAAACACAATGAAAACAACCTGTGGACAAACATTATATTTCCTTTAATAAATATATTAGTTAAATACAATTAAGTTCAAAAGGTTTTCTAACGCGGTCCTTCATAATAAAGAGCTAATATTCTTGCAAAAGCAGCCAGTTAATGTTGAATGTGAACGTTAATATAAAGTGTTATTGATCCGATATTCAAACTCCAGGAACCGGAAACAGTTCAGTGTTCAATAAATGTGTAAGGAAGCTCGAGAACGCCAGAAAACTTGTCTGAATCTTTGTTTACAAAACAAGAACTAAAATGAACTAATGACTCAATAAAGGAGGTGAAGAAGGTTTATCAATAAAAACAGAGACATCAAGGTGAACCTATTATACAATAATGATATCAATAAGCATGTTTCATAAAACTTTATTAAATAACTGACTGTGATTTAGGGAGGATGTAGTGACACAGTCTGTCCAGCAGGGGGCGATCAGACTGAACACTGAGTCTGATGTGTAAAATATGTCACATGTTCAATGAGCACAGAACATTTTATTATTATTTAACAAACTTAACAAGTGAAACATTTATTTTAATTTCAGCCTCTAAAAGTCTTTAATGGTTAGAATTCCATTCCCGCTCTCAACGTCACATTCTCTTCAGATCTGATCCTGAGAGACGGAAACATTTGCAGGACAACAGAGATTTTCAGGATTTTGGTCATTTTAATGCATTTCCAGGTTTTCCAGGTTTTCCAGGACTCTGGGAACCTGATAAAAGTAAAATGCTCCTGGTCCTGAAACACGTTGAACATTTATAATCTGCAGACACGAGAAAAAGAAAAAACAGCTTCAACACAAAATCTGATCCAGCTTCACTTCAGAGTCTGTTTCCATCTGGACCTGCTGGACCTGCTGGACCAGGGCCATGGCCAGGGCCAGGGTTATGAGTCCAGTTCAGACCGGCTGAGTCCAGATCAGCGAGGCTGTCCCAGCAGTCCGGCTTTAGCGGCCAGAGCCTCGTTCTGCTGGATGTGGTACTCCTGGAACCGCATCGAGATCCGCTGAGTCATCTTCAGATATTTCTGTAGACACGACTCGGAGCAGCTCGACTGCAACGACAATCAATATTCAATCAGTACTGATTATTGATGATCAATGTCAGACTGTGGGAGTACTGAACTACGACTCCCAGGGTGCAACAGGCTCGAACAGTCTGGGAAAATTGCACAAAATTCAAACATAGCGGAAATACCGTTATGCAGCCATAAGCCCCGCCCCCCCGAATCAGCCCTCAAGAAGAGTAAGGTTGACACGTATGAAAACCGGTACGCCTGTGTATCGTAACAGAAAAAGGAGAAAGGCCTCTTGGACCCATCCCTCAAACTAAACAGGAAGTCGGCCATTTTGGATTTAGCGGTGATTTATGGCGATTTCCACACGTTGTATTTGAACGAACTCCTCCTAGGGAATTTAGCAGATCGACTTCAGATTTGGACACAGCCATCTAAACACATTCACCATTAAAAAAATGTAAAACATGCAGTAGTACAACCTCTGATTAAAAAAACCAGCTCTAGATCCTGCAGTTCTTGCTAATTTCAGGCCTATCTCCAAAGAAGATTGTGCACAGTCAATTAATGGCCTTTCTGGAAGAACATAATATTCTAGAGGTTTTCCAATCCGGTTTTAAAACCGTGCACAGCACAGAATCAGCTCTCTTAAGAGTTTTTAATGATATCTTTTTAGCTACTGACTCTGGTGACTGTGTTATCCTTGTGCTTTTAGATTTAACTGCTGCATTTGACACAGTGGATCATGAAATACTGATCTCACGTTTGAAGCAGTGGGTGGGCATCAGGGGCATAGCACTGGAGTGGTTCAGGTCGTACTTGGCTGATCGAACTTTCTGTGTCAGCCTGACTCTGTATCCTCCTCTGCTCCTCTCTCGTGTGGGGTCCCACAGGGCTCAGTTCTTGGCCCTCTCCTTTTCTCTCTCTATTTGCTCCCACTTGGTTCCATACTTAGGAAGCACGGCTTTTCATTCCACTGTTATGCAGACGACAGTCAGATTTATGTGCCTCTTAAAAAGAAAGATGAATACTCTGTCAGACTGCTACTTAAGTGTCTCGACGACATAAAGGCCTGGATGGCTCTGAGCTTTTTAAATTTCAATGATAAAAAGACAGAAGTGATGGTTTTTGGTGGCACCACAGGGACCCCCCCTGTAGATCTGGGTTCCTTGGCCCAGTATATTAAACCTAGCATCACAAACCTAGGGGTTAAGGTGGACCCTGAGCTTAAGTTGGACAGTCAGATCAAGGCTGTTGTCAAATCAAGCTTTTTCCATTTGAGGCAGCTGGCCAAAATAAAGCCAATTCTATCAAGGCAGCACTTTGAGACGGTAATCCACGCCTTTGTTACCACTCGGCTGGATTACTGTAATGCACTGTATGTGGGGGTTAGTGGGTCCTCCATCGCCCGTCTCCAGATGGTACAGAATGCTGCTGCACGTCTTTTAACTGGCACACGTAAACATTTCCCCCATTTTAGCCTCACTCCACTGGCTGCCAATTCAATTTAGGATCCATTTTAAAATTCTTTTATTTGCTTTTAAATCCCTAAATGGTCTTGCCCCGCCCTACCTATCTGAGCTTCTACACCCCATAACCGCATAATGGATTAGCCACGCCCCCCCAGAATCAGCCCCCAAGACACGTAAGACCAACATGTATGAAAATTGGTAGCCACGTGTATCATGATGGGACAAGCAAAAAAGCCTCTTGGACCTATAACCCAAACCCAACAGGAAGTCGGCCATTTTGAATTTCGTGGTCATTTTTAGCGTTTTTTTTGCGCTGTATTTGAACAAACTCCTCCGAGTGAATTCATCAGATCTACTTCAAATTTAATCAGCGCAATCTAAAGACATTCATGATTAAAAGTTGTGCTATTTACGTTATTCCGTCGAACAGCGTGTCCGTGGCGACGCCCATTCGCCATAAAACAGACTCAAGTGTACATTGTCCAATCTCAATGAAACGTTTGCTACTGGCAACAGGAAGTAAGCGCTGCATGGCAATTTTAATCTTACATGACATTTTAATGTTGTGGTCCACACATGATAAGCTGTCACTCCCTGACATGCACAGACTGCAAATATTTGTAGGTATTAAGGTTATAGGATTATTATAACGTTATGAACTAATCATTTTGATAATACTGATTACAACATAATGATTCTGATGTTCTATACCTCAAATTTTAACATGAAAATAAATTCTGGTTTGGTGTGTGATTAGTTTTGCGTGCCAACATTAACTCATGGTCATAGCGCCCCCTACTGGCGACAGGAAAAGATGTTTTATACTTGATTAGAGCAGCTTTAATTGGTCAGAAGATGCTTTTAAGGTGCGAGGTCCCGTTCAATGCTGCTTGTAGCTTTAATAATTATTATTATTATTATTATTATTATTGTTATGCTGTCTGGGTGTCCCTGAACGCCTCACCAACAGAATCAATAATCAACAATCATGTGTGGTTTACCTCCTCCGGCTTCACGTCTCTGGTGGTGAAATCTTTGACGCAATCCATAAAACAGTTCTCTGTCACCTTGTTGTACGTCCCCAGAAACTCCTTAAACTGACACACACACACACACACACACACACACACACACACACACACACAGTGACACACACACACACACACAGTGACACACACACACACACAGTGAAACACACAGTGACACACACACACACACACACACACACACACACACAGTGACACACACACACACACAGTGACACACACAGTGACACACACACACACACAGTGACACACACACACACACACACACACACACACACACACACACACACACAAAGTGACACACACACACACACACACACACACACACACACACACACACACAGTGACACACACACACACACACACACACACACACACACACAGTGACACACACACACACACACAGTGACACACACACACACACACACACACACACACACACACACACACAGTGACACACACACACACACACACACACACACACACACAATATGATTCCAGGTTTAAAATGAGTAATAAAGTTTGAAGTTGAATTGAGTAATGCTCTTTATATAAGTCCTATAATAATAATAATAATAATAATATATAATATAATATGTATTAATATTATATTATTATTATTATATAATATAATAATAATAATAATAATAATAATATATAATATAATATGTATTAATATTATATTATTATTATTATATAATATAATAATAATAATAATAATAATAATAATAATATATAATATAATATGTATTAATATTATATTATTATTATTATATAATATAATAATAATAATAATAAGTTACCTGTTTGATCTGGTCGGACTCGGACACCTGGACCGCCATGATTCAGATTCTGTGTGAGGAAACACAAACCAGACTCCATTAAAAAATCAGCCCATTTAACGTTCCCTCTCTGAGACACAATCACATGATCTACCTGAACAGGTGAGTTTATCAGAAACATCAGACGGATCAGAATCCTCTACAAAATATTTTATTTCACTTTGTTTATAAAGTTTTAGACATTTCTTCTTTAAATTCTGTTATTTTAACAGCGCCGTCCTGTCAGCTGAAGAGACGTTTATATGAATGTAGTCTGGTTGAGAATGGAGATCAATCATCAGCTGCTCTGTAGTAGCTTCTTAATCAATACTTCAGGGATAAATACATTCCTGTTCTAATGATGATGTTCTAATGATTATGTACAGGGGCGGATCTACCTGGGTGGCATAGGGTGACAAGTGCCACCCTAAAAGAAAGCCTTGCCCCCCCTGCTGCCACCCCAGTTGGCAGCAACGAATTAAAAGAAAAGTTACGGCCAATTTGACATTTAGGAGCGGAAATCTCCAATGTCCGACCGCAGTGAATGCAGCACGAGATAACGTCAGAGCGACTGATTCGTTTGAAAAACTGAGTGGTGCGAAGCGAGGGAGCCAGGAGTCGCCAGGAAAGGAGAGACGGGAGGAAAGAGCTAAAAACTTATTAACTATCTATCAAGAAATGAAATTATAATGAAAGCACAGTGCGAGCATAGCTGCGATGCTGATTTTGACATGATAAAAATCAGGTTGGAGAACGTTATTTCACTAACTGTACATGTAATGTTAGTTAGGTCTGACCTCAGGTCTGTGTAGGCTACAAAAGCTAATATTGATTCAACGTCTGTCAGGGAAAACATTGTAAAGTTACTAAAGGTAGCATACACAGTTCTCACCAAAGAGAAAGACGACAGAAATAGAAAATGAACAACTGAGAAAGGTAGATGGAGAAGATGAGGTGGAAGCAGAGAGAGAAGACGAAGATGAGCTGGAAGGAGAGAGAGAAAGGCAACAGAAACGTGACAGAGAGAGAATACAAGGCGACCAGGGACAGGAGGAGGAGGGAGAACACCACAGCGGTGAAGATATGGAGGAGGAAGAGCATCACCAAAATGAGGAGGGAGAAAGCGACAGACAAGATAAGCTGCAGGGCTCAGACAGTGAGCCATCACCAACTATCTCCAGTGGAGCTGCTCCACATGGTATGGAAACTGTTGCTGCATAGTAAACTCAGTTCCATATGAATAAGAACAACAAAGGACAGAGACGGACATTTTGCTATAAGGTGTATTTAAGAGACATTGCTTAGACTTCTTCAAATAAATATAAATATTCATGTTTGCTTAAATATGAATAATTGGGGAAACTCAGTGTGAAAGTGTGATGAGATGGGGACAGAGTTTTAATATTTTGTGTACAATGTATTTTAGATCTATTGATCAGATTCAATTCCAAAATCAAACAAATGAACCTAAAACTGCTCTCCCTCTGTTAGTGTGTGTTAAACACAGTCTGGTGGTTAGAACTTATCAATGACAGTCCACATTGATTATGTTTTTACTAGTTGTTATATTGTAGAATTAGTTCAGATGTAATGCAGTTTCAATCTTTCCTCCCCTCCATCTTCTAGACGTATCCAAGTCCAGGTGGGAGGTGCCAGTGCAGCCAATGCTCCTCCAGGGAGGAGCCAGGAGAAGCTTCTGCAGCGACTGGTACAGATCTCATCCCTGGTTAGAATACTCACAATCCAAAGGTGCAGCTTACTGTTCTGCTTGTAGACATTTTTCCCTCCCCGATGCTCCAAGGACTGTTTTCACCTCATTCGTTATCGTAACTGGAAAAAGGCTGCAGTGAAAGACAGTGGTTTCTGTTCTCATGCAGATCTGAAGGCCATGTAAATTAGGGATTGACCGATTATCGGCGCCGATATTCGGCATTTTGACGCATATCGGCATCAGCCTTTTTTTTGTAATCCGACGGCCGATAAGAGATCAATTTAGAACTGGGTTATTTTGGCCTCTCTGTCTGCTGTCACTACTCTGTCCCACCCACAGCACCATCTGATTGGTTACACACTCTGGTTACACGCAGAGCCACGGCACAGGTAACAGCCAATCAGCAGTGAAAGCTGTGCATGCACAGTGCTCACACACACGGCAGAGAGGAGGAAAAGTTTTGTTCCTGGGGGGTTGGTTTCGAAGGTAAGGTAAGGCAGCAGACTCTCCTGAAATTGTAATAAACTAGGGCTGCAACGATTCCTCGAGTACCTCGAGTAACTCCATTACAAAAAATGATCGAGGAATTATTTCTGCCTCGAAGCCTCGTTTAATTCAATTTAAAACTCATGTTTCGCACAAATTCTTTTTAGTGTGACACAATGTGCAACGGCGTTACTAACGGCGTTATTTTTTCAGTAACGGAGTAATTAATTACTTTTCCCATCGTTGCAACGCCGTTACCGTTACTGAGAATGTAAAGTGGCGTGTTACTTGCGTTCCTACAATGTGGTTGAATGAAGCGCAGCGCTGTCAGGCTTTCTGACAGCCACACATCAGCTGCCGGGAGAGAGCAGGGTGGTGATGATGATTGGCTGGGTGGGCGGATGCCCTGCTCACGCTGTCTCACTGCACGCTCTAACTACTACTATAAACATAAGACAGAGACAATGGCGACGAGCCAGGGAAATTCAAAGGTAGCGTTTTTAAACTGGAATACCGACACTACTTCTTGCTTACTGAAGTTAACGCAGGGCTCCAGAGTGCGACCAATTTAGTGAGCTCCAGCGAAGGAGACGGAGCCACTCCGTTAAAACAAGCAAAGCTTGATTTTTCGGGTCAGTAACAGGTGGCGACGAGGGCCGAGCTGAACACACTGACTGCAAGGTATGTTGTTGACAACATGATACCTGTCCATTATTTCTATGCATATGGCCGGCTGCAATCTGTTGAGTTCAAATAAATACCAAATGTTCTGAAATACTGTATATAGTGTTTTTATTCTTCATTCAGTTATTATAAACATATTTTACGTTATAGAAGATGTTATAGAATGTAATAGCGTTATAGAACATAAAAAATAATGTCAGTTACTTTGCTGAGTAACTAATTACTTTTACAATGTGGTAACTGGAAGAGACAGAAGATGTCGAAGGTGTGGGATCATTTTAAATTAAAAATTAAGGACATCGTGTTGTGTGTACATTTGGACAACATTTTTATTTTATTTTCGATACTTAGAAAAAATAAGTGGGAAACAATTTTATTTATTTTATTTAATTTTATGTCTCAGGAAATGAAGTGAATTTGAATGAAGTAAATTTTTTATCTATATTGGAAATCTGAAACGGTTTACTACTTTACATAATATGTATAATAATAAATAAATGTAAATGTTTCTTAAATAGGAGACAAATTGTTGTTATTATTAAGTGATCCATCTTGTTTTCTATTGTATATTTAAAATTGGGCTTTAATTAAGCAAAAGTATGTTTTATCCGATTACTCGATTAATCAATGGAATATTCGATAGAATACTCGATTACCAAAATATTCGATAGCTGCAGCCCTATAATAAACATCCCAGTCACTCACAACTACTAGTAACATTACTGTGAGTCCATTAACGTTATAGAAACATAAGCAGCAGCTCTGCTCACACGCAGTCCCTCCAGACGGCCAGTTAATCTCTGAAAACAAGGTTGCTGATATATCGATATGGAAATAGTCCGTGATAGTAGAAGTCTGTGTGTGAGTGAGAGAGTGAAAACCTAATAAACTCAATTCAGTCCAGTTTTATTTGTTTACATTTTCAGTTAACTTTATAAAGATGCTGCTGACCTGGGAACACCCTGCACTTTTTCTTTTTGTTTGAACTTAAAACAAAGATAAGTGAAAGATTAACATTTCAGTTATATTGAATTTTGGAAAACTTTATTTACTGTAGAAAACTTTAGGGAGCTATTTATTTATTTAAATTTTCAGTTAACTTTATAAGACATGCTGCTGAGCCCGGGAGCTCGCTGCACTTTTTGTTAGAATTTTAAAACAAAGATGTCTATCGTCTAAAAAAAAACCTTTAACATGTTGCAAATCTGATAAGCTGTTTAATAAACATTAAATGCTTAAAGGCATTTAAACGAAGTTAAGTGTTGGACTTTGTATTATTCAAAAAGTTGACGCCAATATTTTCCCTTTTACTGCAAATGAATATCGGCTCCAAATATCGGTTATCGGCCTCCTTGACAACTAATAATCGGTATCGGCCCTGAAAAAAACATATGGGTCTATTTCTAATGTAAATCCAATGTTTGCATGGACAGAGAACAATCCCTGTGTTTGGACTAATGGATGAGCAGAAACAGAAGCAGGTGGCTATAAATCAATACTACATTAATCGCCCCCCCAGATTAAATTCAATATGTATAAATACATAAATATATATAAATACATATGTTTATATATATATTTCTAAATACATTTATATATAAATAAGTATACATATAAACATTCATATAAATATATATATATAAACATATACATATATATAAACATATATATATATTATTTATAATATTAGAAAAATTAGACACATACTATCACAGACAGATGCAGAAAAACTAATCCATGCATTTGTTACTTCAAGGCTGGATTACTGCAACTCTTTATTATCAGGTTGCCCCAATAAGTCCATTAAAACGCTCCAATTAATTCAGAACGCTGCAGCACGAGTACTGACAGGAACTAGAAAAAGAGATCACATCTCTCCTGTACTAGCTTCTCTGCATTGGCTCCCTGTAAAATGTAGAATAGAATTTAAAATCCTCCTCCTCACCTATAAAGCTCTTCATGGTCAGGCCCCTTCATATCTTAAAGAGCTCATAGTACCCTATTACCCCTCTAGAACACTACGTTCTCTGAATGCTGGGCTACTTGTGGTTCCTATAGTCTCTAAAAGTAGAACAGGAGCCAGAGCCTTCAGTTACCAAGCTCCTCTCCTGTGGAACCAGCTTCCAGTTGTGGTTCGGGAGGCAGACACCCTCACCACATTCAAGAGTAGGCTTAAGACATTCCTCTTTGATAAAGCTTATAGTTAGGGCTGGATCAGGTGAGTCCTGAACCATCCCTTAGTTATGCTGCTATAGGCCTAGACTATCGGGGGATTTCCCATGGTGCACTGAGCTACTCTCTTCCTCTCTCTTTCTGCACTCATTCATGTCCCTTTAATGCATGTTACTAACTTCACTTCTTCCCCGGAGTTCTTGTGCTTTCTCGTCTCGCAGGTTCTTATTGATCCTGGTGGAGCCTCCTGCCATGGTCCTGCTTGACTGCCATTGCCAATACTGTTGTTGCTGTGCACCTGTCTGTCTGTCTGTCGCTCTCTCTCTCCCTCTCTCTCTCTCTCTGTCTGTCTCTCTCGCTCTGTCTCTCTCTCTCTCTCTCACCCAAGTCGAGTCTCCCACCCACCTAGAGCCGGAGGATCTGTCCTAGGTTTCTGCCTTTTAACAGGCAGTTTTTCCTTGCCCTTGTCTCCAAGTGCTTGCTCATGGTGGTACTGTTGGGTCTCTGTAAATAATGTTTTAAAGAGTTCGGTCTAGACCTGCTCTATTTGAAAAGTGTCCTGAGATAACTTCTGTTATGAATTGGCGCTATACAAATAAAATTGAAATTGAATTGAATTGAATATGTTTATATATATATTTCTAAATATATTTATATATAAATAAGTATACATATAAACATTTATATAAATATATATGTTTATATAAACATATATATTTATATAAACATATATAATATATATTTATATATGTTTATATAATATATATATGTTTATATATTATATAAACAATATATTATATAAACATATATATTTATATAAACATATTTATATATGTTTATATAAATATTATATAAACATATATAAATATATATTTATATATGTTTATAAATATATATAAACATATACGTCTGCATTATGTTGCCTCCCTCTCGACTCCCAGAAATATTTCTCTAGATCTGCCCCTGATGATCTAATGATTATTGATAATGATTATTGATGATCTAATGATTATTGATAATGATTATTGATGATCTAATGATTATTGATGATGATTATTGATGATCTAATGATTATTGATGATGATTATTGATAATGATTATTGATGATCTAATGATTATTGATAATGATTATTGATGATCTAATGATTATTGATGATGATTATTGATAATGATTATTGATGATCTAATGATTATTGATAATGATTATTGATGATCTGATGTGGATGATTATTGATAATGATTATTGATGATCTCATGATTATTGATGATCTGTGTTCTGATGATGATTATTGATGATCTAATGATTATTGATGATGATTATTGATAATGATTATTGATGATCTAATGATTATTGATGATGATTATTGATAATGATTATTGATGATTTCTGTCACTATTTCCCTGCAGGAGCAATAAGCTAACGGCTACCGTTAGCTAGCATTAGCTCCGGTGTCTGTTTCCGGGTTTAATTGAACCTTTGTTGTTGTTGTTGTTGTTGTTGTTGTTGTTCCGACCGACTACAAACCGCCGGCGGGGAGTGAATATAACAATAAAACATGAATTATGATCAGAATATGATTCCACCGACCTGCGGACGTTGTGACGTGAAGCTGCTGCGGGCTGAAGGACGCGTGAGCGGAAGTGACCCGCATCATCATCATCATCATCATCATCTTCTTCTTCTTCTTCTAGGATTCCGGCAGTGTAGACGCTGTTAGGCGTACTGCTGCCCTCCACAGGTCAGATGGAGAACTATATTCTCACATACAGTCCTGTATCATGTAGAAACTGAAGAACTGCTCCACTCCAACTCCTGTCAGTCTAACAAAGAAAACCTTTCTCTCTTCTCTTTACCTTCCACATTCCAGGAACACCTGCCCTACTGTTCCAACGATCCCACACTCACACAATCCAGAAACATTTCCTACAGAGAATCATTGAACCCACAATGACCCAACCTCAACCTACAGAGTTTCACTGAGAATCACATAAACATATTTTCCTGACTTTAGGTTGTATAGAAAAGAAGTGTCTACCCCTGGCTTCCCTTTGCCACCCTCTCTGCCATTCTTTCAGCCCGCTTTGATTATTTCTCTTAATTCCACTCTCCCCATGGATAAATGAACATCTACTTCACTGCTTAAGCTTTCCTTTGCAGTGGTCCACCTGCTCATTCCCCCATAATATGAATTCAAAAGTTATTAAATAATGGTCAGATAGGAAAGGATTATGTGGGAAGACTATTAAATGTTCAATATCAATGCCATATGATAAAACAAGGTCAAGAGTGTGATTAAAACAATGAGTTGGTTTATTTACACTCTGACAGAAGCCAATTGAGTCTATTAATGATATAAATGCATTACTAAGGCTGTCATTGTCAACATCCACATGAATATTAAAATCACCTACAATAATTACTTTATCTGATTTAAGGACTAAACTTGATAGAAACTCTGAGAATTCAGATATAAAATCAGAGTACGGTCCAGGAGCGCGGTACACTATAACAAATAGAACTGGCTGCAGTGTTTTCCAGTTTGGGTGAGAAAGACTAAGAACAAGGCTTTCAAATGAATTATAATTTAGTTTAGGTTTAGGGTCCATTAAAACGCTCCAATCATATATGGCTGCTACTCCACCTCCTCGGCCAGTGCCTCGAGGAATGTGAGTATTAATATGACTGGGGGGGTGGATTCATTTAGGCTAACATACTCCTCGTGGGACAACCAGGTCTCAGTAAGACAAAGTAAATCAATATCATAATCTGATATTAATTCATTCACTAAAACAGCTTTAGAGGACAGAGACCTGATATTTAACAGCCCACATTTCATTCTCTTATTTTGTGCTACTGAGGAGTTGGTTTTTTCCTGGTCCTAACTCTGGACTGTCAGGTTTTAGAGATAAACTTCGCCATATTTCTAGATAAGAGAGCCGCTCCATCCAAAGTGGGATGGATGCCGTCTCTCCTAATCAGACCAGGTTTTCCCCAAAAAGGCTTCCAGTTATCAATGAAGCCCACATCGTTTGCTGGACACCACCTCGACAGCCAGCGGTGGAATGATGACATCATCACTGGTCACATCTCCTTGATTAGTTCCCTTAACTTTAAACAGCACGACAAACTCTTGAGTATTTCCAGTTTTCCTAACCTTATTTCCTTCATCTCCTGACATTTCAGGTCTTTCACTCGATGCCCCCCTCTTAGAGCCCCCCTTTTCCTTTACCTTCACCACCGTCTGCCCCCCACCACCCTCAGCCCCCCTCCCTGAAGCCATGAGCCTCTTAAACCCCTCCTTCCCAACCCTAATCTAATTCTAATAATACTAGCCCAACTATTAATCAAAGAAAAAGTCAAAGAAAAAGTGTCTCGAGCTTGTTGTGCGGAAGCAGGTGTAGAACACGAGCACGTGCTCCGCTTCTCTCAGCGTGTCTCAATCAATCCTTTAGATTTGATTGGCGGCTGGCATCCAGCTTATATATTAAACCCTAAACATTAACCCCGTTTCCCTCAAGGACTTTCTCACATACCTCGCAACATGTTCCCTACCGTGAACATCACTTTGTCCCTTCTCTCCTGTCTCTCTCTCTCCTCCCTCTCTCTCTGTGTACCTGTCTCTCTCTCTGTGTACCTGTCTCTCTCTCAATTCAATTCAATTCAATTCAAATGGCTTTCTTGACATGATGTAACACTGTACATATTGCCAAAGCAAGCGTTTGGAATTAAAAATAATAATAATAACAGTAAAGGAAAACAATATTTACAATAAATTAATTATAATCTATACTGTTGGTAATACTGTAACTATGATTGACTCAATCACAGTCACAGTCACAATCAATCAATCTCAGTCAATAAGTAATTAATTAAATCAATCAATCAATCAATCAATCAGTTTGGGTTAAATAAAAATGTCATTAAAACAGTAGTAAAGTAACTACAGTTAAAACAAGTAATCTGTTGTCAATATAACAGTAATTACAAATTATTAAATATAATAATCTATATAATATTAAAATATATTAGAATTAAAATAAAATAGATAGATAAAACTGTTAACGTGTGTGTGTGTGTGTGTGTATGTATATATATAAACAACAACAACAACAACAAAAAAACAACTAAAACAATCAATTATTTTATACATTTATCTGAGTTTCCACTGGTCGTCCTCAGTTCGTGGCATGAGGAGACATATTTTGCTGCAATAATTTGACTTTTGGGCATTTCTCCCAGTAAATAGGGGAGTTTCTGTGTGTCTGATAATAATTTGAATTTGGGGAATATTTGGGAAATGTTTGCGAATAGTTTTTCTCTTAAAGTTTTGAATTTAGGGCATGAGGTTAGAAAATGCAGCTCTGTCTCTACCTGTCCTCTGTCACACTGGGAGCAGAGTCTCTCCTCTTCTGGTAGCCAGTTCTGTCTGTGGCGACCCGTTTCTATGGCCAGGCTGTGTTCACTCAGTCTGTACATTGTCAACATTTTTCTTAGTTTAGGACATTTTATTGTGCTCAGGTAATTTGCCAGTTTGAATTCTCTTTTTAGGGTCAGATAACATTGTAATTTACTTTGTGTTTTGGTCGATTCTTTCCAGTATTCAATATATTTTCTTTTTGCTTGTTGATAATTTGGTTTGGTCTGATTGAGTTGGTGTTGCTGTCCTGAGGCTGTTGGGGACATGTTACTGCAGAGAGCCTCAGGACCAGCTGGCTGAGGGGACTCTTCTCTGGTTTCAGCTCCTGGTATGTTAGGGCTTTGTGATGGTATGTCTGGGGGTTAACTGATTTATCTTCTCTGTATTTTTAGTAGGAGGGGGTATTGGCCGAGTTCTGCTCTGCACAGATTATTTGGTGTTTTTCTCTGCACCTGCAGGATGCTCTTACAGAACTCGCTGTGGAAAGATTCTATGATTGTTTTGTCCCATTTGTCAAATTCATTTTTTAGTTTTGGTCCCCAAATTTCGCTGCCATATAGAATTATTGGTTCTAGTACAAATTGGAAAATGTTAAGCCAGATTTGGATTGGAATATAGATTTTAATGTTTCTCTTTATTGCATAGAAAGCTCTCCTTGCTTTGTCCCTCAGATCTTTCACAGCCATGTTGAGGTTTCCTGTGTATGTGAGAAGAATGCTGTTTGTTTGTTTCCAATCTTTACGGCACATTCACTTTTTGTATACATGTTCTTAATCAGATCATATGTTTTTCCTCCAATGCCACTTTCAAGTAGCCTATAGAAAAGGCCCTTGTGCCAGATGGAATCAAAGGCTTTTTTGAAGTCAACGAAACATGCATATACCTTTCTTTTCCTAATTTTTAATTCTTGATCAATTAAAGTCTGGAGGGTAAATATATGGTCCATTGTGCAGCAATTTGGCAAGAAACCAATTTGGCATTTATTAATATTGTGGTCATCAAGAAAGTTGACAAGTCGTTTATTAATGATGTTGCAGAATATTTTTCCCAGGTTACTGGGACACATATTCCTCTGTAGTTATTTGGATCATATTTATTTCCGGATTTATGAATTGGGGTTATTAAACCTTTGTTCCAGATGTCTGGAAAAGCTCCAGTTGACAGAATAGTATTGAATAGTTGTATTATAGCCAATCTGATTTTATGGTCTGAGTATTTGATCATTTGGTTGAGGATTCCATCAATACCACAAGCCTTTTTTCCTTTCAGACTGGATGACTTCTGTTAATTCTTGTTCTGTTACTGGGTAATCTAGAGGGTTTTGGTTGTTTTTTATCACCGCCTCCAGAGTTTTCCATTTTGTGAATATCTTGTACTGATCATCATTCTTTGTAATATTACTGTATAATTCACTAAAGTGATTAATCCAAGTATTTCCATCTTGGATCACCAATTCTTCCTGCTGGGTTTTGTTTAGGTTGTTCCATCTCTTCCAGAACTGGTTGGATTCGAGGGATTCCTCAATTTCACAGAGCTGGTTCTTGCTGTGTTGTTCTTTCTTTGTTTTTAGGGTGTACTTGTATTGTTTCACAGTGGCCTCATATTGACAGCGTATGTTGTGGTTATCTGGGTCTCTATGCTTTTCATTTGATAATTTCCTTAAAGTTTTCCTTAGGTTTTTGCATTCAGTGTCGAACCATTTGTTATTGTTCATTTGTTGAGATTTTGGTTTGGAGGCTTTCAAATTAGACAATAGAGCCAAATGATGAAAAATTGAATTGATTTTGTCCACAGCAGAATTTACACCAGAATTATTATGGGGAAATGTTTCAGTTAGAAATAAATGAGTTAAATCATATATGTTTTGACTTTCCAGTGCCTTTTGGTACGCCCCCATGCTGTCAGGGGTCCATCTGTATGAGTATGTGCTGTTAAACAGTTCACAGGCACTAGGGGCTCCAGAGTTAGACTGGGCCCTTTTCAGATAGATTGTGATTTTGCTGTGGTCTGAGAGGTGTGTGAGGGGTGTGAGGGGGCTGACTGTGAAAGCTCTGAGAGACATTGGATCTAGATCTGTAATGAAATAATCTACCGTACTACTGCCAAGAGCTGAGCTGTAAGTGTAGCGACCCAGAGAGTCCCCTCGTAGCCTCCGCTGACTATGTACAGACCCAGTGTACGGTAGAGCTGTAAAAGCTGCATACCGCTTGTATTAGTAAGCTTGTCAAAGCTCTTTCTAGTAGGACATTCAGGGAGGGGGAAGCAGGTGCTTCCAGGTAAGTGTTTGTCTCCCTGGGTGTTCATAGTGTCAGCTCTTTCCCCTGTTCGAGCGTTCAAGTCCCCACAGAGTAATACATTTCCCATGGTTTTATAATGGTTAATTTCCTCCTCAAGAAAAGGGAAAATATCTGGGTTGTAGTAGGGGGATTCTGATGGAGGTATATAGATGGCACACATGTAGACATGTTGCTCAGCACAAATAATCTTTTTGTTAATTTTCAACCATATATAAGATTCTTCTTTTTTAATAACTGTGATGGACTGGCTCAGTTCTGATTTACACCATATAATCATGCCTCCTGAATCTCTGCCTTGGGTTATTGTGGGATGTTTTGTTGATGGTATAATAATCTCAGTGTAGCCGTGAGGACAACCAGTGGAAACATTTTCTCTGCACCATGTTTCCTGTAAAACTATGATGTCAGAGTCTTTTAACTCTCTATTAAAATCTGAATTTCTGCTCTTTAAACCAAAAGCTGATGATCTCAGACCTTGAATGTTCCAACATGTTATTGTAAATAATTTCATCTCCAAGTGTGATCCGTTCAAAAATTAGACAAACACCTTAAAAGAAAAATAATAATAATAATAAACTAGATATTGAAAAATAATAATGGTAATAAATGAAAAGTGTAAAAAGACGAAAAGAGGTCAATTAATAAAATATTAAACTTTGAGTGACATTTTAGAGTGTATCATGTATGAAATCCTGTTAAGAATTGTCCTTATAAAACTATTCATTTAAAATGATATACAACATGTTAAACTATTAATTATCGTGGTGTCTCTGCTCTTCCACCATGTAGCTACATGAGGCGAGAGCAGAGCAGGTTTAGCATGTGTAATATTTCTATGAGTTCACCAGAGGGGGGTGGGGCTGTGGCACCGCTGCAGCATTGTTCAGCCCAATAGGCTGCTGCTCCTGTAGTATTGGTTCTGCCGTTGGGAGGAGGGGGGGGTATAGGACCTCCAGGCTGGGAGGCTCTCTGAGTCTGAACCAGGCTGGGTGAGAGGGGGTGAGTCCTCGAGGAAAGGGCCCTGTTGTACTTCAGCAGGTGTAGTGGGAGTTTGGCTGGATGTGGTCTGGGTCTGAAAGGTGAGCACAGGGGGTTGTGTGGAGTTCAGTCTGGCTTGTAGACTGAGCCCTGTTCTGTCCCTCTCATGTAGCTCTTCTCTCAGAGTAGCCAACTCAGTTCTGCAGTTGTCTCTGTCCTTCCTAAGTTCCTTCACCTCCTCACTGAGATGATCCAGCTGTGTTCTCTGATGAGCTAGTTCCTGTTGAAACTCTCTCAGCTGTGAGTTGACATTGTTGTGTTCTTTCTTGGCCTGGAAGTCACTGACAGTAGGAGAAGTAGGCTGCTGTTGGTCCAGCTGCTCTCCTCTCTCTCTCTCTGTCTCTCTCTCCTCCCTCTGTCTCTCTCTCTCTCTCTCTCTCTCTCTCTCTCTCTCTCTCTGTCTCTCTCTCTCTCTGTCTCTCTCTCCTCTCTCTCTCTCCTCTCTCTCTCTCTCTCTCTCTCTATCTCTGTCTCTCTCTCTCCTCTCTCTGTCTCTCTCTCCTCTCTCTCTCTCCGTCTCTCTCTCTCCTCTCTCTCTCTCTCTCTCTCCTCTCTCTGTCTCTCTCTCCTCTCTCTCTCTCCTCTCTCTCTCTCTCTCTCTCTCTCTCTGTCTCTCTCTCCTCTCTCTCTCTCTCTCTCTCTCTCTCTCTCTCTCTCTGTCTCTCTCTCTCCTCTCTCTCTCTCTCTCTCCTCTCTCTCTCTCCTCTCTCTCTCTCTCTCTCTCTCTCTCTCTCTCTCTCTCTCCTCTCTCTCTCTCTCTCTCTCTCTCTCTCTCTCTCTCTCTCTCTCTCTCTCTCTCTCTCTCTCTCTCTCTCTCTCTCTCTCTCTCTCTCTCTCTCTCTCTCTCTCTCTCTCTCTCTCTCTCTCTCTCTCTCTCTCTCTCTCTCTCTCTCTCTCTCCTCTCTGTCTCTCTCTCTCGCCTCTCTCTCTCCTCTCTGTCTCTCTCTCTCCTCTCTCTCTCTCTCTCTCTGTCTCTCTCTCTGTCCTCTCTCTCTCATTCCATAAGAACATGCTGCACAGATTCAGGATGATCACACAATCTACATTTACCAGTAAGATGTTTACCAATTCTGTATAATGTGCTATTAAACTCTGTGTGCCCTAATCTGAGGCGGGTAATGACCGCCTCCACCTTCCTGCTCCCGCCCACCACTCCTCCTTTCTTCCTGTCTTGTTTAAATCCCAGTATTCCTGCCAAACCTTTTGTATTTGTGTTTTAATGATTGTCTTTCCTTCTGCTTTCCCTAGTGGGATATTGTTTTGTGACTATGTCTGCATCCTCATTGCCCTCAACCCCTGCATGAGCAGGGACCCACAGAAAACAGACCATCCTCCCCCTGTTATGAAGGCCGTATAGCATTTGATGGATCTCCATGATTAGATCTTGCCTGCATGACTTCATGGTCTTAATACTCCTGATGGAATGAGTGCGTTGGCCCTGTTGTCTCCCCCTAACCATCTCAGTGCGAGCGTGATAGCCAGGAGTTCAACTGTGTACACTGATGCATGATCTGTTGTTGCCACTTTGAACTCTGGAATGTAAACGCACCTATTCTCTGTAAATATTCATACTCTATTTGCATAATTCTGTTCAATATACCTTTGCACTATGACTCCAGTAACTCCCTGCCTTGTCTTCCTTTTGAGCTTCTGCTGAATATTAAAATCTACTGACAGCATCTAGAACCACCAGGGAGGAAGTGACCGTCAAACTTTATTTAAACATCAGTTCAACAGCAGAGACAAATAACAAATAAAGATTCAATTATTATTTAATGGACACTGAAGACATTCATATCCGAGGAACTACAAAACAAACTCCAGAAGAAAAATGGGACGAAAGTTTACACTGGAAATTAAAGCTGGATCAATTCAATTCAATTCAATTCAATTTTATTTGTATAGCGCCAATTCATAACAGAAGTTATCTCAAGACACTTTTCAAATAGAGCAGGTCTAGACCGAACTCTTTAAAACATTAATTACAGAGACCCAACAGTACCACCATGAGCAAGACCTTGGAGACAAGGGCAAGGAAACACTGCCTGTAGGACAGATCCTCCGGCTCTAGGTGGGTGGACGTCTGTCTCGACCAGTTGGGGTGAGAGAGAGAGAGAGAGAGACAGAGAGAGAGAGAGAGAGAGAGAGACAGACAGACAGACAGGTGCACAGCAACAACAGTATTGGTAATGGCAATCTAGCAGGACCATGGCAGGAGGCTCCACCAGGATCGATAAGAACCTGCGAGACGAGAAAGCACAAGAACTCCGGGGAAGAAGTGAAGTTAGTAACATGCATTAATGGAACATGAATGAGTGCAGAAAGAGAGAGGAAGGGAGGAGCTCAGTGCACCATGGGAAATCCCCCCGATAGTCTAGGCCTATAGCAGCATAACTAAGGGATGGTTCAGGACTCACCTGATCCAGCCCTAACTATAAGTTTTATCAAAGAGGAATGTCTTAAGCTTACTCTTGAATGTGGTGAGGGTGTCTGCCTCCCGAACCACAACTGGAAGCTGGTTCCACAGGAGAGGAGCTTGGTAACTGAAGGCTCTGGCTCCTGTTCTACTTTTAGAGACTATAGGAACCACAAGTAGCCCAGCATTCAGAGAACGTAGTGTTCTAGAGGGGTAATAGGGTACTATGAGCTCTTTAAGATATGAAGGGGCCTGACCATGAAGAGCTTTATAGGTGAGGGGGGAGGATTTTAAATTCAATTCTACATTTTACAGGGAGCCAATGCAGAGTAGCTAGTACAGGAGAGATGTGATCTGTTTTTGTAGTTCCTGTCAGTACTCGTGCTGCAGCGTTCTGAATTAATTGGAGCGTTTTAATGGACTTATTGGGGCAACCTGATAATAAAGAGTTGCAGTAATCCAGCCTTGAAGTAACAAATGCATGGATTAGTTTTTCTGCATCTGTCTGTGATAGGATGTGTCTAATTTTTCTAATATTACGTAAATGAAAGAAGGCAGTCCTAGAGGTCTGCTTTATGTGGGAGTTAAATGACAAATCCTGATCAAAGATAACTCCAAGATTCCTGACAGTGGTGCTAGAGGCCAAGTTAATGCCATCTAGAGTGACTATATCTTTAGTGAGTCTCTAAGGTTTTTGGGGCCAAGAACAAGAATTTCGAGTTTCGATTTTCGAGAAAATTGCAGCTCATCCAGGATTTTATGTCCTTAAGACATGTTTGTAATTTAGATAATTGATTAATTTCATTGGGCTTGATTGATAGATATAACTGCGTATCATCTGCATAACAGTGAAAGTTAATGGAGTGATTCCTAATAATGTTGCCTAAAGGGAGCATATATAAAGTAAATAGTATTGGTCCAAGTACAGAACCTTGTGGAACTCCATGACTAACTGTAGTATGTATTGAAGATTCATCGTTAACATGTACAAACTGCGAACGATCTGATAAATATGACTTAAACCAGCTTAGTGCGGTTCCTTTAATGCCAATTTGATGCTCAAGTCTCTGTAAAAGAATATTATGGTCAATGGTGTCAAATGCAGTGCTACTGCAATAAGCTTCCTGACGGCTACAAGCGTAACAACAGTAAGTCCCTACCCTTTGTTTTAACTTTATAATTATAAATGTATATATATATACTATATGAGTTAATTACATTATTGTGTTCATTATAAACGTTGCAACAACTGATTTATATATTTTATATATTTCATAGAAATTCATTATATAAGAGATAAAATAACATCATATGAGAGAATAAGATTTGTTGAAATTTACTTGTTACAGCAGCTCCAGAAAATAAATGGACAAATTAATATGAATAATGAATACATAAAAAGAGAAAGATATAAAAATATATAAGGAATATAATAATAAGAGTTTATATACAGTGATTGATTGAGTTCACTCATTGTGTGAAGGTTTATAATAAAATAATGAAATAAAAATATTGCCATGAAAGATGAATATAGTTTGCAGCAGGAGGCAGTGACACAAATCTACGGAAGCGTATTGCATTCACTTGAACATTTTTAGGTTTGTTTTTCTGAGTAATTATTTGTGTTGTTCTGAGTTTAGAGAGCATTTGAAACAATAAATCAATCAGATTTTACTTTGATCTGGGTTTCAGACTCTGGGAGATAGTCCTGTCTTTAAGTCATATAGATGGTAT